TCCATTTTCATAATTTCAGTCTATAGAAGTATGTTGAACATTCAACATGCCAGTTCCTGTAAAATATAAATGTCCAAAATGTGGAGGTGAAACAGATACTCCTAACTTACCATGTATATACTGCTACTATAAAGATCATATAAGAGATCATTGCAAAACAAAACATGTGCATCTGTACTATTGAATAAAGTATTTTTATAGAATGTTTGTGAAATTTTGCATAGGTATATAAGCCTATCATTCAAATAAATAGATTCAGTTTATTTGTATTTTCGGAAGCCTTAGGAGACATGGATTCAAAAATATCAGATGTGGTTGATTTAAAAAGGAAACTGATTAAGAAAAGAAAAGATTTACAAAGAAAATTAGAACTAATTAAAGCAACTCAACGAAATGAAGAGAAAAAGTATGAACCCCTCACTAAACATTTGGAAACATTAATTGAGAGACGGAGTGAAAATCCAATAAAAAGTAATCAAGATGTGTCGAACATTGAGCACAGTACACCTACAAAGCGAAAGTTAGAAAATACAATTCTGTCTCCTGTTCGTGAGAAAAAAACTATTGTTACTACACCAAAGCAAGCAGAAATTTTCACGCCAAGACAAAAAAGAATTGCTACAAAAGTTGCTAACCTTGTGAAAAGAATCGATGCCATCAAAAATGAAAAAGAAGATCGAATGAGTCCGATTAGTTCAAAATATGATGTTTTATCACAGGAAGATTTCGAAGAATCAATAAATAAAACAGATGCACAGGACAATGTGTTCCAATACATTCCCGAGGAAGACAATGATAATTATAACTTCAATGAGGTTCTTGAAAAATCTGTTCAGTTAAGTAAAAATTATATTAAAAACATCGTTGATACAGACGTTTACAACGAATATTTAAATGATTTTGATGAATTACCCAGAAAATATATTGACGAAATGCATCACGATGCAGAAAGTAAATTTGATCACAGAACAGGCGTAAGACATGACACTTTCTCAGAGAAATTTTATATTGGTTCGAAGGAGGTACAATTTATAGGTCCAGATATAAAAATAGACAATGAAATCTTTAAAGGGACTCCTGGAATTTATGAACTTATTTTTAAAAAGAAGCCTGTTCATTTTACTACGGAAGACAAGGAAATTTACAAAAAAATTTTAGAAAAAACCAATGCATATCGAAGAAATTTCGATGAAAATGATCGAATATTGGGTACAAGTTCGATGAAATACAAAAATATTATAGGACCATTATTCTCAACTCTCACGAAGTATAAAAAACCGAAGAAAGGTGGTCAAGTACTATTTAAAGAAGTAAACACAAATAAAGTTGATTATGTGTATTGGGAAGATCCAAATGAATTAGTTGAAAGACTGAAGTTGTTAGTCGCTTCCCAGACAGCAGGCCATTCGGGTCATCAAAACGAAATCGTTTCTATAATAGAAGAACTACGCGAAGCTAAAATTATTGCTTAATATGACTCTGGATAAATTCGGGCGTCATTTGTTAAAACATGCTAAACTTTCAGGTTCTATCGACAATGATATGATTACTATTTCAAACTATATGTTCTATAATCTGATATTTCGCTTCGAATCCGATAAAACCGTGGAAAACACGTATGTATTAAATTCTAAAGAAACGCACTATACGTTTCCTTTAGAAATTGGAACCCTTACAAAATTGAATATTACCATTAATGAAATAAATGTTTATGTAAATAACAAATTTTTTAGTAAAGAAGAATTGAAAGGATTTGTACTACGTAACGGTGATCGAATATCGTTCAAATATGCTCTAAATAAAACAGAAAATGTACCAAATTTGTTCGCAGAAATGATAATAAAATGTCCTGTTAATTTTGAAGAATCGTTAGTTAGTGCCGAGAAAGCACATTATATACATAAGACTGATAAAAATGAAACGCAAGAAGGTGTATGAGCCAACTCCCATTAAAAGAGATATTGTTGCAGAATTGCACAAACCCGTAAGAATTAATTTTAAACGACGCAAGGTTATAATAAAAGGTATTAATGAAACATTACAAGCAGATCTAGTGGAAATGATACCGTATGCTAAGATAAACAGAGGATACAAATATATACTTGTTGTTATTGACTGTTTCTCAAAATACGTGTGGGCTGTCCCTGTAAAGTCAAAAGATGCTCAACAAATCGCCACTGCAATGGAAACAATTTTATCCAAAATCGTACGGTTACCCAAAAATTTACAAACAGATCAAGGAAAAGAATTCTACAACGTAAAGTTTCAAAATCTTATGAAAAAATACAAAATTAATCATTACAATGTCTACAGTTTAAAAAAAGCCTCAATCGTCGAAAGAGTAAATCGCACATTAAAAAATTTAATGTGGAAAGAATTTAGTTTGCAAGGAAATTATAAATGGTTAGATTTATTGGCAAATGTGGTACATCGATATAATAATTCTTATCATCGTACTATAAAAATGAAACCGTCACAAGTTAACAAAAGTAATGAAAACGCTATTCTAAAAGCTGCTTATACTCAGATTAAAATAGTTAGCAATAAATCAAAATTTAAAGTTGGTGATAACGTAAGAATAAGTAAGTATCGCGGAATATTCGATAAGGGATACACACCCAATTGGTCAAATGAGATTTTCATAATAAGAAAAATTAATCTCACTAATCCCACCACATATTTTTTGAAAGATGAAAAGGGTGAAAACATTTTAGGTGGTTTCTATGAAATGGAACTATTGAAAGTTAAGCATCCAGGTGTATATCTCGTTGAAAAAGTTTTAAAAAAGAAAGGTAATCAACTTTATGTTAAATGGTTAGGATTTAATAACACCCACAACAGTTGGATTGATAAAAAAAAAATTACATAGTCGCTTTTCTCTCAGTCAGTTGACATAATTGATACGATGAAGTTGGTTGTAGTCGACGTACAAGGTTTTTGTCTACCTGAATTCATTGTAAAAGAACTTGCGATTTACGATGGAATTAACACAATACACGAAACATTCAAATCTACAAAACAACTCAAAGAAATCGATGAAAGAACGAAGAAACAAGCTAGATATCTAGAACGTTATCATCACATGTTGAGATTTAATGACGGCTTCAAGGAGCAGATATCTGTAAAAGAAATTTTGTTCAAATACATCAAGGAATATGCAGTGGAGATCTTATATGTAAAAGGAAAATGTAAAGAAAATTACCTTAGGGAAACGCTAGGAAAAGACTGCCCCAAAATTGTGAACCTCGAAACAATTGAAGACTCTGTGAAATTATCTAAAGAAATCCCAGCATGTGATAAACATATTGCTAATAATAAAAAATGTTACTGTTCTTTAAACAATGCTAAATGTATTTACAATTGGTTGTATTCAAGGTTTCCTCAATAAATAATACTATATTAAACTGTGTTTTATTTAATCGCAACACAAAACGTCAAAATAACGAACGAAAAAAAAAAACTGTCAGGTGTGGGATTCGAACCCACGCTCCCTTTCGAGAATCAGAGCTTAAATCTGACGCCTTAGACCGCTCGGCCAACCTGACTATGGAAAAACGGGTCAGGTCGATCGAGTAAAAGGCATTGCCAAAACGTACAGGTCAGGCACGTGAAGTCCTAAGGCAAGTCAGCCAAGGCCAGCCCCGTGCAGCGACCCGACCTAAAAAAAAAGAGGGGATAGATCTCGAGATGACCAAGGGCAATAAACGTAATTCCTACAGACGAATCCATCGACTTTTATACAAGTATAAAACGGAAGTGGGGATGCGAGATTGCGTCCGAGATCCCTCCCCGACCTAAACGAAAAGAGGGGATAGATCTCGAGATGAACGAGGGCAATAAACGACCAAGGTCGAGCAACGACTAGGTCAATGATCGCCCGATGAAAAGTAATGGGGGAGCTGGACCAGCTGGCAAGGTCAGCCACGTGCACCGACAAGCTCGACAACAAATGAAAGGTCAATGACCGCTCGATGAAAAGTAATGGGGGAGCTGGACCAGTTTGACCTCATTTGACCTGGTCTAGAACCCCCACTATATAACTACTGACTGATTGTTGTAGAAGCGGCAATGTATTTTGAGAATATCGTAAAACGTTAATAAAATTTGACCTATCGTCCCCTGCAAAAATTAGATGACGTCATCTCAAAATTTTGCTAAGTAATTCCTACTTAATTTGTTCAAAACAATATGCTTCAAGCCTTTATATTTCAGTAAATATTAGAAACAATTTAGACAGAACTTTCCTCGCCACGGAAGTACTATCAAATAAATGCAGTTTCTTAAATAAATGATAAAATTATTTGGTTTTGAGAATCTTATTTTTTATGATAACCTCTGAAGTTGTAATGTGTGGATTCTTAAATTCGACGTAAAGAAGCATGCTGTGAGTACGTTTCAAGTGAGTTTTTCGTTATAAAATTTTGTAGTGACGCCATCTAATTGATGATCGGAAGTTTTGATTATTATGGAGATTAAAGTTCATTGAAATTTCATAACATCCAATTTTGTAATTTTGAAGGACAAGACTACACAAAAAGGGCGAAAAAAAATTAACAAAGAAAACGTCAAACAAGCGAAGAAATCGCGAAAATAGGGTGTTGAAAAAGGTAACAAAGGCGACAAAATACACCAAAAAAACAGCATTAAAAGGAAATCAACTTTCTTTTTAAATGCGGGGAAAAAAGAAAATAGAAAAAATGTAGATGGGTAAAAAAAATGCAGTTAAAAAACATACAATACAAAAAAAGCGAAAATAAAGGCGAAAAAATTGGTTATTAACGAATGCAACAAAAAGATTAAAAAAGAGAAAAAACAACACAATAAACAAGAAAAACTGCAACCGAATACAAAAGGCGACAGAAAAGGCGGTAAAATGAAGAGAAAGAAAAAGCGTTAAAAAATTAGACAAAAAAGAGCGAAAACAAAAAAATTAGTAAAAAATATAGTCAAAATAAGTGTTAAAAAGAGGCCACAAAAGCTACAAAAAAAGTTACAAAAAGGGACGAAAAGACACTCAAAAGGACGACAAATAATGCGGGGAAAAATGCGATAAAAGGGAGGCCTGAAAAAAAAAGGAATAAAAAGGCGACAAAAAAGACGGAAAAAGCAAAAAAGTTCACAAAAAAAGGCAACCAAAAGGAATAAAAAAAGTGCAAAAAAGGTTACAAAAACCAATAAAAAAAAGTTATAAAAGGGAGCGATAAAAAGGGGGCAAGCGATCAAAAATAGACAAAAAATGTGAATAGAAGCAAGGGAAAAATCCATAAAAATGCGAGAAAACAACGACAAAAAAAAGGAAACAAGAAAAAGCCGTACAAAAAAAAAAACAAAAACAAAAAAGACACGGAAAAAGCAAAAAATGCGCCAAAAACTACTAAAAAAGCCACAGAAAGATCACAAAATGTGGGGGAAAACAGATAAAAGGGGAAGAGAATATGATTAAAAAGTGACTAAAAAAAAAGGCGGGAAAAAAACAAAACAAAAAAAAACACAGAAAAAAAAAGGCAATCAAAAAATAGGGAGCCAAAAAAGAACTACAAAAACAGGGCAAAAAAGACTTTAAAAAAAGGCTTCAAAAACACCAAAAAAGGCGATGTACAACGACGCAAAAGGGACAAACGAAGGCGAATAGTAAATGGTGAAAAAAGCGATCAAATAACGACAAAACAACGACAAAAAAGGAGATAAAAACGAAACCAAAAACGACAAGAAGAAAAAGCGACAAAAACAAGGAACAAAAAAAGTGGCCGCAAAGGGGGAAAAAAGAATACCAAAAAAGAGACGGAAAAAGGTGGAACAATAGGTGTTAAAAACCAAAAAAGCTTGAAAAAATGCGACAAAAACCGGAGAAAACAGGAGATAAAAAGGAGAAGGAAAAATGAGGAAAGAATGTGGCAAAAGTGACCACAAAAAGTCACAAAAATGCGACAAGAAAGAGACCACAAGAAGCAACAAAAATAGGACAGAAAAAATTTATAAAATAGAGGCATAAAAAGGGGAGAAGCGATCAAAAATAGACAGAAAAGGTAAATAGAAAAAAGTGAAAAAGGCTATAAAAATGCGAGGAAACAACAAAAAACATGATAAGAAAAAAAAACAAAAAAAAAGAAAAAAAAACGATACAAAAGGCCGAAAAAAAAGTCGCAAAAAAGTGGTAAAGGCAATACCAAAAAGACATGAAAAAAACGTCAAAAAATATAAAAAAAGCCACAAGAAGGGAGGGAAATATGACTAGAAAGTTACTAAAAAAAGACGAAAAAGGGCGGCAAAACAATAAAAGGCGGCAGAAAAAAGCCAACCAAAAAAATATTGAGCCAAAAAAAGCCGAAAGAGGGCCACAAAAAGAACAAAAAGCAAAAAAAAAAACGATGCGAAGCGACGAAAGAGACGAGAAAATGTGAAAAATACCAAAGAGACGAAAAAAGGCGAAAAAACAGGCATGAAAACTAGAAAAGCCACAAAAAATATGACAAAAAAGCGGAGAAAAAAATAAAAAGGAAAGTAAAAAGTGAAAAGTAACTTAAAAAGGTAAAATGGGGATACATGTGATAAAAGTGACCAAAGAAGGTCAGAAAAAGCGACAAAAAAGATCCACAAAAAGCGTCAAAAAAAGGCGAGAAACGATTTATAAAACAGAGCGATAAAAAGGGGGAAGCGATCAAAAGGTAAAAAAGGTCACAAAAATTCGAGAAAACAGAAAAAAACGAAACAAAAAGAAGAAACCAAGAAAAGGAAAAAACATACAAAAGGGCGACAAAAAAATCGCAAAAGGGAGCAAAGGGAATACACGAAGGACACGAAAAAAGGTAAAAATGCGTCAAAAAGTATGAAAAAAAAAGCCACAAAAAGAACACATAATAGCGGAGAAAAACAGATAAAAAAAAGAGAGAGAAATATGACAAAAAAGTTCCTAAAAAAAAAGGCAAAAAGTGGCGGAAAAACAATAAAAGGTCACAGAAAAAAAAACAAAATTAGGAAGACAAAAAAGAGCCGAAAGAGGGCTACAAAAACACAAAAAAAAAAATAGAAAAAGGACACAAAATGCACCAAAAAAGCGATGCGAAATGACGACAAAGAATGGAGAAAAAGGGAACAGTACAATGTGGAAAAAGGTCTTAAAAAGCGAAAAAAAAAACGACAAAAAATGGGATAAAAAAAGAAACCAAAAAGACAGCAACAAAAAGCGATAAAAAGGGACTAAACAAAGTGGCAAGAATACCAAAAAGATACGAGGCGTCAAAAACCAGAAAAGCCACAAAAAATACTACAAAAAAACTGAGAAAAATGGAGATAAAAAGGAGAGGGAAAATTACTGAAGATGGTAAAATGGGGGAAGTATTTGACAAAAGTTACCAAAAAAGGCCACAAAAAGAGACAAAAAAGAGACCACATAAGTCGCAAAAAAGGGATAAAGGGAACATCAAAAGGACACGAAAAAAGGCAAAAAACTGCTTAAAAAAATATGAAAAAAGCCACAAAAAGACCACAAAAAAGCGCGAAAAAAACAGATAAAAATGGAAGGGTAATATCACCAAAAAGTGAGAAAAATTCAAAAAAGGGCGGAAAAAACAATAAAAGGCCACAAAAAAGGTAACAAAAAACAGGGAGCCAAAAAAAGAACAAAAAACTAAAAAAAGGCTACAAAAAGCAGCAAAAAAGGCGATGCGAGGCGACAAAAAAGAGACGAAAATGAACAGTAAAATGTGAAAACAGATCACACGAAAAAGGTAGAAAACAGAGATAAAAAAAAAGATATAAAAAGAAAACAAAAAGAGACGCAAAAGGCGAAAAAATGCGCCAAAAAAAATATGAAAAAGCTACAAAAAATGCAGGAAAAACAGATAAAAATGGAAGGGGAATATGACTAAAAGTGACAAAAAAAGGCAAAAAGGGTGGAAAAAAACAATAAAAGGCCAAAAAAGAGCCAAAAGAGGGCTACAAAAAGAATGCTACAAAAAATAGCAAAAAGGCGACGCGAAGCGATAACAAAGAAACTAGAAACGGGGAACAGTAGAATGTGAAAAAGGGCCATAAAAAAGCGAGAAAACGACAAAAAAAGAGACAAAAAAGAAATCAAAAAGGCAACAAGAAACAAAGATAAAAAATGGAGCAAATATATATATATAAATTTGCGAAAAAATGCGTCAAAAACCAGAAAAGCCACAAAAAATACTACAAAAAAACCGAGAAATGGAGATAAAAAGCAGAGGGAAAAATAACTAAAGAAAATAAAATATGGGAAGAATTTGACAAAAGTGACCAAAAAGTCACAAAAAGCAACAAAAAAGGTGAGAAAAAATTCATAAAAGAGAGCAATAAAAAGGGGGGAAAATCAAAAAGAGACGAGAAAAAGCCAACAGTAAAGTGTGAAAAAAGCCCATAAAAAGCGACAAGAAAAGGAGATAAAAAGGAATCAAAAAGAGACGACAAAAGACGAAAAATAGGCGTCACAAACCAGAAAAGCCACAAAAAATACGACATATAAAACGGAGAAAAAAGGAAATAAAAAAGATCACAGAAAAAGGGCGACAAAAATACAAGGAGCCGAAAAAGAGCCAAATTGGGGTCACAAAAAGCAACACGAAATGCGATCAAAAACCCCATATAAGGAAGCGACAAAAAAAGAACGGGGGAAGCGACCGAAAAAAGATGAGTAAAGGGCGAACAGAAAAAGGTGAAAAAAAGGACGAGAAAAAAATCATTGGAGATAAAAAAACGACAAAAAAGCAGCAAAAAAAAGAAAAAGTCCACAAAAAAATGAGTGAGAAAAAAGAAGATAAAAGGAGGGAATAGATTAAAGAAGTTACTAAAGCAACAAAGAAATACGGAAAAACAAAGAAAAAAGCAAAAAAATCAGGAAGCCAAAAAACACAAAAAACGCAAAAAGAGACCACAAAAAGCAGGAAAAGAGACTAGAAAAGGCGAAAAGAAAAGGTGAAAGGGGTCTTAAAAAATGCGAGAAAAAAGACAAAAAAAATACAAAGACGGCAAAAAACGAGATTTTTAAAAAAGACAACACAGAAGCTATAAAACAGGGTGTCAAAAAGGCGTAAAAAGGGGGAAAACAACAAAAGGATATTAGAAGAGGCGACAAAAACCGAAAAAGGTACAAAAAACAAAAAAAGGGGAGAAAAAGAAGAGATTACTTATCTACTGAAATCGTCAAAAACAACCGACGAGTGGAAATGCGAGACTTACTTTTTCATATTCTAGAGATTATGAAACGTCTAGAAAACCTAAAATCGACCACTCATCCAAAGAACCTTATTACAATAGTTCCCTATCTTACTCTCGGGACGTAAAAATTCAAATGTCACGGATGCCTTCAGCACTGGCCATAGTCGATCAAAAATCGCTGATACGTGAACATATAAAGCTCATAACATCCCGGAAACTTTATGCAGGAACCGATCCCGTGCAATTCCACTTGAAATCTCGTGACAACCGTCAAATTGGTCATCCCTTTCCAAGAACCCCATCCCCGTCCCCCGCCCCCCGCGCCCCCATTCCGATGCACCCAATGCACGTCGTCTCCACAGTTCCAATTTCCTGTTTTTCTCCAAACCGTGTACATCTCTCGCATCCCTATCGAACGTAGTCAAATATCTGTCGGTGTTGTGCAATGGTGGGGATGCGTCGTCCCACCCCTATTCCGCGTCGTCTCGACGCCGACGTCGTTGTTCAGTCCAGTGTGCGGATGGTGCACGCGTGCAACAGTGCTCTCGTGCCGCGAAAAATGTCGAAGCGCCGCGCCGCCATCCGGCGATGAAGACGCGATGGTGCGTCGCGACGCCCCCACGTGAAGCCCGAAGCGAGCACAGCGAGCCGGAGGAGCGCCGATCTGAGGTACGCAACCAGGACCTGGGGGCCCTTCGGCGACGAGGCGGAAACCTGCCTAGTGCCGGAGCGGATCGTTATTTTAATTTTGGATAAACGCCCCACACCCCGATTTTCGGGACGATGGTTTTGGCGAAAATTTCGGAAGGGAAAACGCGTGTAGGCGTTGGCCTTCGCTAAACGTAGAAAGATTGCGTAGGTCAATGGTGATGCGGTGCGCTGGGTTCACGGAGAGGAGGGTAAAAATAGTGCGTCTTTGGGGAAGGGGAGGCGGGGGCTGTTTGGGTCCGGGCGACAAGTGGAATTTCATGGGTTGATGGTTTGGGGAGGTTTCATTTTTTTCGGACGAAGGGAGGATGTTTGCTTTTGAATGGTGAGAGTGGATGTGTGCTTTGGGGGGGTGGGAGTGTTTGCGTTTCCAAGACCGGTAAACAGGGATTATTGAACTGAAACAGCTGAATTTTTGTTTTTCACACTTTTGCTGATGACGCAGATAATGAATAAATTACAACGAAAATTATAAACCCCTCAATGCCTTTTTTTTTCGTAAAAGTACTAGCAGTATTCGTCGTTTCTAAACATTAATAGAGGTCAAGCCAAATGTTTATGTTTGAAATGTCACTTTGGATTTAGAAACACTTCAACAACTTTTCGTCCCTAGAAAATAAATCACACGCTTTGTATTATCTTTGGCCTAGACAAAACAAACGGGTGTGTTATAACTCCGCCGTGGGAAATACACAGTTTCCAGATCCATATTTGAATAACACACAATAGAAAATTAACACACCCCATTACAAAATAGTTCTTGGCGAACATGTACTGCCTCAAGGATCGCTTTTAAAACTTTTATTATTTTCGTTATACATCAACGACTTGTTGAAACTTTGCTCTAATATAAGTGTCAATTTTCGGAACGAAACGAGAATGTTTGCTTTTGACTTGTGGTATATTTGGTGAGCTGAAGGTGTTGAAGTTATTTTCAACGAAATTCGTAAATAGGACAAAAAATCGAAATCTCTGCTTCGGTTCACTTCACGCAGAACGGATATTAATAAAGTGTGATAAATACACTTGTCAGTGAAAACTGAATCGAATAAATGAGAGATAAACCGATAGCAGCTCAGTTTGTTTAAAAGGTTATAGGCCAGTACTGGGTGGTGTACAGTTCCTAACCCGATTAAAATTGTATTATATTGTTGTGCGTCAAACTAGTATGATGTGTTTATGATATTCAAATCACACAATTTATATTTCAAGTATTGATTAGCGTGATGCCAGCGGAAGTTTCCAGTTTCGAAAATAGTTTTTGAAATATGAACAGCGTTTTGCAATTTGATTTACTCGTCTGAATTACAGCTAATTTTGAACATTTAGCTGAATGTTTCCGTTTCATTTGGGTGGATTTACCAATCTCCGACGAAAACAACGACCGGAGTATTTGTTCCGAACGAAAATAGGTCGAAAGAATTTATACAGTGCTTCCCTCATACTCAGGTCAGCGAAAATTAATCAATAAAGTTAACTGATTTATTTTTTTTAAACTTATGTAGAAAAGCTTTACGTGTTATTATAATTAATGGTTAGTTACTATGAGAAACTAAATTATTAATAAAAGAATTTTTTATTTTCTATAAAAGTGAATCCTAAAAATGTTCGTAATTATCTCTTAAACTTGCTCGCTGCGCTCGTATTCTAAGAGTTGTTTTTTTAAGTCTAGAAATTTATTCTCACAATTTTCTGCACAACTCTGTGAGAATAAAGCTGAAAAAGAAAACTTAAAATTCGAGCGCAGCAAGCACGTTCAGGCATAATTAAAAAAATTATTCATTGTTATCCCTGAGAAGCTAAATTATCAATAAAAATGTTGTTGTTTAGAAATGCGAGTTTATGATCATTGAGACTGAAACATCCTGAACGTGCTCGCTGCGCTCGCATTTTAGAGGTCGTTTTTTCAGATTCGACAGTTATAGTCGCTGATTAGAAATCTCGGGAAAATTCGTTTTAAAAATGAATTTTTATGTCTTTATATAATTTTGGAAAATGGTTGAAAAATGGCCGAAAATAAAAATATCAAAATCAGTTTCATCACTATAAAATGTTGGCCCCGCCCACCCACCCTCTATTTTCTTAGGGGATATGTTATTTGCCAGAATCAGTTTTTTCTTAGCAAATATTAGCCCCGCCCACCCCGTTCTTCTCATCCTAACGATTAACTTTAATTTTCTTAATCACTGAAATGGAACAGGGTGGGTAGGCGGGGCTAATTATGTTTTTAATACACTATTTTCTATAAAATTTATTCCTTATTTTGTGTACTTGACCTGACTTGATCTAACGTGATCTGACCTGTTCTGAACTCACTATTGTCTCAAAGAAACACATTTTAAATATTTGTGTGGATATCTAAAAGCTACAAAGTCATGTTTAAAACAGATGTACTTTGTGAAACAAAAATTAATAATAATTTCCTTTTTTATCAAAAAAAAAAAAAAAATCATAGCGAGTTATTTTGACGGAACTAAATTGTTGAATTTCATTTGGTGCTTTTGCAAAAACGGTAGAAATTTTCGAAAAAACGAAACCAAATTGAATTTTGTATGTCAAATGTCAAAATTGAGCGTTTGGAAAAGGTGTCCAAAAATTCTCAGAAAAATCTGGAATGTAGACATTAACGCGCTGATTCGAGAGTTGTCGTCGTTGATTAGAAATATCAGAAAATTCGGATTAAAAATGAATTACAAATGTCTTTATATAATTTTGGTAAATCGTTGAAAATTGGTCGAAAATATAAAAAATGTCAAAATCAGTCTTCTCACTATAAAATACTGGCCCCGCCCACCCACCCTCTATTTTCTTCGGGGGTATTTATTTGCCAGAATCAGTTTTTTCTTAGCAAATATTAGCCCCGCCCACCCGCATTCTATTTTCTTGGAAGGTATTGTCAATTGCCAAAATTCTAACTGCTAGCCCCGCCCACCCGCCGTCTCTGTTCTTGGAGGATATGTGATTTGCTAAAGTTAGTCTCATCTTAGCAAGTACTAGCCCCGCCCACCCGCCCTCTATTTTTTTTGACAGATTTCCGATTTCTCAATTATTTGATTTTTAAAAATATCCAGAAAATAGATGTTTATTTTTTTTAATTTTCGATTTTTGATTTTTCGTCACCGAGTTTTTGGAAGGGAGTAAAAAGTAATTTTGATCAGCCATTGCCATGTTTACCGTAACTTTAAATCATCTGAAAATTTTGTTTGTAATTTTCAATTTTTGGATTTTTCGAATTTTCAAAATTTCGGTTCGAATAAATTTGTCCTTTTAGTTAAAAAATTGAAAAATAACAAATCGTGAAAAGGAAAAATTTTAACTTCAGAACTTGAAAAATTAAAAATCAAAAAATTTGAAAATTAGAAAGTTAAAACTTGTAAAATCAAAAGATTGGAATTAAAAACTGCAAAATTGGCAAACAAATTATCAAATGAAATATTCAAAAGTTCAAAAAACTAAAAACTAAAAAAAAATGAAAACTGGAATTTTGAATTCGACTTTATAAGATTTCTTCATTCATTTCACTCACACCGAATAAAATCAATCACTGAAATGGAGACAGGGTGGGTGGGTGGGGCTAATTTTTTTTTATACTATTTGCTACAAAATTTATTTCTTATTTTGTGTACTTGACCTGATTTGACCTAACGTGATCTGACCTGTTCTGAATTCACTATTGTCTCAAAGAAACAAATTTTAAACATTTCTAAAGATATATGAAAACTACAAAGTACATCTTTAAAATAGTTGTACTTTGTGGAACAAAAATTAATCAAAATTGCTGTATTTCAATTGGCGATTTTGTAAAAACGGTAGAAATTTTCGAAAAAACGAAGCCAAAAATGAATTCTTGATGTAGAAATCTGCAAGAAAATATCTTCAGCTAATTTTCGAAAATTGTTGAAAAATGGTCAAAAATATCAAAAATATCAAAATCAGTTTTATGGTTATAAAATGATGGCCTCGCCCACCCACCCTCTATTTTCTTCGGGGGTATGTTATTTGCCAGAATCAGTTTTTTTTTAGTAAATATTACCCCGCCCACCCACATTGTATTTTCTTGGGGGATCTGTCAATTGCCAAAATTAGTCTTATCTCAGTAAGTACTAGCCCTGCCCACCCTCCCTCTATGTTTTGGAGGATCTGTGATTTGCTAAAGTTAGTCTCATCTTAACAAATACTAGCCCCGCCCACCCGCCCTCTATTTTCTTCAAGGGTATGTCATCTGCAAAAATCAGTTTTATCTTAGCAATTACTAGCCCCACCCACCCCGTTCCTCTCATCCTGACGACTAACTTTAATTCTCTCGATCACTGAAATGGAGACCGGGTGGGTGGGCGGGGCTAATAATGTTTTCGTTATACTCTTTGCTATAAAATGTATTTCTTATTTTGTGTACTTGACCTGACTTGACCTGACGTGATCTGACCTGTTCTGAACTCACTATTGTCTCAAAGAAACAAATTTTGAACATTTCTGTGGGTATATAAAAATTACAAAGTACATCTTTAAAATAGTTGTACTTTATGGAACAAAAATTAATAAAAAAAACTGCTGTATTTCAATTGGCGATTTTTCAAAAACGCTAGAAATTTTCGAATAAAAGAAGCAAAAAATGAATTCTGGATGTAGAAATCTGCAAGAAAATGGCTTCAGCTAATTTTCGAAAATTATTGAAAAATTGTCGAAAATGTAAAAATTGGGCGTTTGGAAAAATTGTCCAAATATTCTCAAAAAAAATCTGGAATGTAGACCTTAACCTTGATTCGAGAGTTCTAGTCGCTGATTAGAAATCTCCGGAAAATTCGAATGTCTATATAATTTTGGAAAATGGTTGAAGAATGGTCAAAAATATAAAAAATGTCAAAACCAGTTTTAACACTATAAAATGCTGGCCCCGCCCACCCACCCTGTATTTTCTTAGGGTGTATGCTATTTGCTAGAATCAGTTTTTTTCTTAGCAA